ACAACATATCAGAATCTATGGGACACAATGAAAGCAGTTTTAAGAGGGAAATTCATCGCCTGGAAGACATTCCTCAAAAAAAGAAAAAACCAACAAATAAATGAGCTCACACTTCATCTCAAAGCCCTAGAAAAGGAAGAGCAAAACAACAGCAAATGTAGCAGAAGGCAAGAAATAATTAAAATCAGAGCGGAAATTAACAAAATTGAAACAAAAGAAACTATTGAAAAAATTGACAAAACTAAAAGTTGGTTCTTCGAAAAAATAAATAAGATCGACAGACCCTTAGCCATGCTAACGAAGAGAAGAAGAGAGAACTCAAATTACTAACATATAGGATGAAAAAGGCAATATCACAACAGATGCTACAGAAATACAGAAGACAATTAGAAATTATTTTGAAAACCTATATTCCAATAAAATAGAAGATAGTGAAGACATCGATAAATTTCTTAAGTCATATGATTTGCCCAGATTGAGTCAGGAGGATACACACAATTTGAACAGACCAATATCAATGGATGAAATAGAAGAAGCAATCAAAAGACTACCAACCAAGAAAAGCCCAGGACCGGATGGGTATACAGCGGAGTTTTACAAAACCTTTAAAGAGGAATTAATACCAATACTTTTCAAGTTATTTCAGGAAATAGAAAAAGAGGGAGCTCTTCCAAATTCATTCTATGAGGCCAACATCACCCTGATTCCGAAACCAGACAAAGACACCTCAAAGAAATAAAACTGCAGACCAATATCCCTAATGAACCTAGATGCAAAAATCCTCAATAAAATTCTGGCGAATCGGATACAAAAACACATCAAAAAAATTGTGCACCATGATCAAGTAGGATTCATCCCTGGGATGCAAGGATGTTTCAATATACGGAAATCAATAAATGTTATTCACCACATCAATAGACTTAAAGATAAGAACCATATGATCATCTCGATAGATGCTGAAAAAGCATTCAACAAAGTACAGCATCCCTTTATGTTCAAAACATTAGAAAAACTAGGGATAACAGGAACTTACCTCAACATTGTAAAAGCTATCTATGCTAAGCCTCAGGCTAGCATCATTCTGAATGGAGAAAAATTGAAGGCATTCCCTCTAAAATCTGGAACAAGACAGGGATGCCCTCTCTCACCACTTCTGTTCAATATAGTTCTCGAAACACTGGCCAGAGCAATTAGACAGACGAAAGAAATTAAAGGCATAAAAATAGGAAAAGAAGAACTTAAATTATCACTATTTGCGGTTGACATGATTCTAACCTAGAAGACCCAAAAAGGTCTACAAAAAAACTACTAGAACTAATAAATGAATTCAGCAAAGTGGCAGGATATAAAATCAACAGGCATAAATCAAAGGCATTTCTGTATATCAGCGACAAAACTTCTGAAACGGAAATGAGGAAAAACAGGAGCTGGGGATGTGGCTCAAGCGGTAGCGCGCTCGCCTGGCATGTGTGCGGCCCGGGTTCGATCCTCAGCACCACATACAAAAACAAAGATGTTGTGTCCGCCGAAAACTAAATAAATAAATATTAAAAAAAAAAAAAAAAGAAATGAGGAAAAACACTCCATTCACAATATCCTCAAAAAAAAAATAAAATACTTGGGAATCAACCTAACAAAAGAGGTGAAAGATTTATATAATGAAAACTACAGAACCCTAAAGAGAGAAATAGAAGAAGATCTTAGAAGATGGAAAAATATACCCTGTTCTTGGATAGGCAGAACTAACATCATCAAAATGGCGATATTACCAAAAGTTCTCTATAGGTTTAATGCAATGCCAATCAAAATCCCAACGGCATTTCTTGTAGAAATAGAGAAAGCAATCATGAAGTTCATATGGAAAAATAAAAGACCCAGAATAGCAAAAGCAACTCTAAACAGGAAGTGTGAATCAGGCAGTATAGCGATACCAGATTTCAAACTATATTACAGAGCAATAGTAACAAAAACAGCATAGTACTGGTACCAAAACAGGTGTGTGGACCAGTGGTACAGAATAGAGGACACAGAGACAAATACACAAAGTTACAACTATCTTATATTTGATAAAGGGGCTAAAAGCATGCAATGGAGGAAGGATAGCATCTTCAACAAATAGTGCTGGGAAAACTGGAAATCCATATGCAACAAAATGAAACTGAATCCCCTCCTCTCGCCATGCACAAAAGTTAACTCAAAATGGATCAAGGAGCTTGATATCAAATCAGAGACGCGCCGTCTGATAGAAAAAAGTTGGCTTCGATCTACATATTGTGGGGTCGGGCTCCAAATTCCTTAATAGGACACCCATAGCACAAGAGTTAATAACAAGAATCAACAAATGGGACTTACTTAAACTAAAAAGTTTTTTCTCAGCAAGAGAAACAATAAGAGAGGTAAATAGGGAGCCTACATCATGGGAACAAATTTTTACTCCTCACACTTCAGATAGAGCCCTAATATCCAGAGTATACAAAGAACTCAAAAAACTAGACAATAAGATAACAAATAACCCAATCAACAAATGGGCCAAGGACCTGAACAGACACTTCTCAGAGGACATATGATCCATCAACAAGTACATGAAAAAATGCTCACCATCTCTAGCAGTCAGAGAAATGCAAATCAAAACCACCCTAAGATACCATCTCACTCCAGTAAAATTGGCAGCCATTCTGAAGTCAAACAACAAGTACTGGCGAGGATGTGGGGAAAAGGGTACTCTTGTACATTGCTGGTGGGACTGCAAATTGGTGCGGCCAATTTGGAAAGCAGTATGGAGATTCCTGGGAAAACTGGGAATGGAACCACCATTTGACCCAGCTATTGCCCGTCTCGGACTATTCCCTGAAGACCTTAAAAGAGCGTACTACAGGGATACTGCCACATCAATGTTCATAGCAGCACAATTCACAATAGCTAGACTGTGGAACCAACCCAGATGCCCTTCAATAGATGAATGGATAAAAAACAATGTGGTATTTATACACCATGGAGTATTATGCAGCACTAAAAAATGACAAAATCATGGAATTTGCAGGGAAATGGATGGCGCTAGAGCAGATTATGCTAAGTGAAGCTAGCCAATCCCTAAAAAACAAATGCCAAATGTCTTCTTTGATATAATGAGAGCAACTAAGAACAGAGCAGGGAGGAAGAGCAGCAGGAAAAGATTAACATTAAACAGAGACATGAGGTGGGAGGGAAAGGGAGAGAAAAAGGAAATTGCATGGAAATGGAAGGAGACCCTCATTGTTATACAAAATTACATATAAGAGGATCTGAGGGGAATGGGAAAAAATCAAGGAGAGAAATGAATTACAGTAGATGGGGTAGAGAGAGAAGATGGGAGGGGAGTGGAGGGGGGATAGTAAAGGATAGGAAAGGTAGCAGAATATAACAGTTACTAGTATGGCATTTTGTAAAAAATGTGGATGTGTAACCGATGTGATTTTCAATCTGTATTTGGGGTAAAAATGGGAGTTCATAACCCACTTGAATCTAATGTATGAAATATGATATGTCAAGAGCTTTGTAATGTTTTGAACAACCAATAAAAAAATAAATTAAAAAAAATAAAAGAAAATAAATAAAAACAAAATAAAAACATGATGTAAAATTTAGAAAAAAAAAAAAAAAAAGATCTCTTGCTTAAGAGACTACAGGTAAGATCAACACAACATGGCTCATGTCTTAAAGGACCAGTAACAGACATAAAAATACAGACAGACAAAGAGAGGATCACTGAAATCAGGGCTAACAGATAGAAACCTTTAAAACATGTACAAATTGTTTCTACTTACTTTACCTTTGACAGACCAACTCCAATTGCAAAATTGTATAATAATTCAGAAAGTTATTTATTCAAAAGCCAGCTCATTACAGTAAAACATTATCTTAGATAGGCTTACATCTAGGTGGCCCTTTCTTTAACTTACTTTACCTCTGACAGACCAACAACAATTGCAAGATTGTACTAAAAAGAAACAGAGAGAGAGACAACCAGAGAAGAGCCCCAAAACCATGGCCCACAGACAGGAACCTTTAAATTGACCGGCCAAGATCTTTCTCAAGAGACTAAATACAAGTCAATGCAGTATTGGCCACATGATACAAACAAAACAAAAACAGACAACCAGAGGGAATTCCCAAACCCAAGGACAACAAACAGATGAAAACCTAGAATATAACAGAAGGGAGTAAATATCCGTAGGTTCTGAAAACCCACGTAATCCATGATTCCTCTACCAGTGGTGTCACAGATGTCTCCACAAAGAGTGACCAGATGTTCCCATGAAGAGGAACCAGATGTGTGGAATCAAGGGTCTCAGTGTGCACACAGAGGAACTTACCAGATGGCTAAAGGTGTCATGACTTTACTGAGTTCAGTTTCCTTTTTCTCAAAGTGAACTACAATGGAGCAATCTATACCCTTCAAGGAGAGAAAGCAGGAGTTCCTGAAAGCAAAAGGAGCTTCAGCAGCTGCTGGGAGAATCCCTTTACTCATAGGAATAGCTACTCTAGTTTAAGCCAAGGCAAACTCACCAGTCTCCTAAATCTCCTGCATTTGGCTCTCAACAAGTTCCCAGCCACCCTGCATCCTCAGCATGGATGTGGGTTCCTTGGAGAGCCAGGCCTACCCAAGAAAGCTGGAGTGGGGGCTGCTCTCAGGCCCCATCTGGGGTGCCAAATTTGTTATAGAAAGCTCAGTCTTTGTCCCTGATGCCTATCTAATAATGAGGATATGATTTTGAGAAAAAGGAAAAAGACGTTTCATTGCTTTGCTATTCAAGGAGAAACATAGGGGACTCTGTCCTAGAGGCTGTGCTTCTCTAGTCTCTAATTAGTAATCCTACATCTCAGCCTCCCAAGTTGCTGGGATTACAGGTGTGCACCACGTCTGCCAAAACGAAATATTTATCTAATAGAAACAATGTATGAAAAATTTACAAACTAAGATATTAAAAAAATGACTAAAAATACCAAATTTGTGCACATACCTGGCAGAATTCACATGTAACTTGAATTTCATAAGTTGAACAACTTATCACGTTCTCTTTTTCATGGCAAGGATACTGAAAAAAAAGTGATTTCACACTATTAAAAATAGTTTTGAAACACTTCTCGAAACACAGAAAGTGAAAGCACTCAAATTATACTCTGTAACACTAGGAATATTCAAAACTCCAATCACTATTAACAAACTTTATAAATGACAGAGCACTGCTCCTGAAATATGAACCACCATGTAAATGCCTTAACTGTAGGCATTAACATATCCAACTCTACCATAGGGGTTTAATGAACAAGAAATATTTAATTCAGCCCTTAGGGCTATGGTTGAAGGACAGTCATTAAAATAGTAAAAGTTCTTACTTTATAAGTCTGACAAAAAAAAAAAAAGATCTGGCATTTCAAAATTTCTACTCAAGAAGCTTCTAACTTAAGATATACTTAATGGTGGTAACAATATAAGTCTGTTTTTTCAAAATGTATTTGTCCCACAGTGTAAATGATCCACATAAGCAGCTCCCCTTTCCATAATTTTGTAACTTGCTTATGTGATATCAACTTAAATGCAGCATATTGAAACAAATAAGGTCATTTTAAAACTCTGCCAAAACTTTAATTTATATTCACCGAAACTCCATCTACTGGTAAACATAGTGTACTATATTATTATCCAAATAAAACCATGATATATAGAGGAAAATTATATTTTTCATAATTTTGCTTATAAATCTTGCTCAGAAAAACTGGATAATCCCTGAGCAGAAATGTGTAACTAGAGATGCAGTTCCCAGTCCTGAAGTAAAGGTCACCCTGATATGAATTAAGACAAAGGATCTTCTTCCCTGGCTGCAGGCAAAACTTAATCTGGTAGGGTTGCATTTTTCCATTCATATCCAATGGTGAGGAAAGGAAAAAGAATACTAGAACAATCCAAAGGAAACATACAGTAGTCATGCTTCTGTCATTACCAGCAAATGTGAGCTCAGGAAGAGCAAGGAACTTATCTTTGGGCTATCTAAAACGATGTCTCAGTAAATTAAGTTCAAGAAACATCTAAACATAACTAAATGCAACCATGAAAAACAACAAACAGTTGTTTCCTTGCACTTAAAAAACTAGCAGAAGAAAGAGGAATACATTGGTATGATTTCAATTAATTCATAAGAATATAGGAAAGTTGGGGCTGGGTTGTGGCTCAGTGGTAGAGCACCTGCCTAGCATGTGAGAGGCAGCAACACATAAATGAATAAAATAAAGCCATAAAAAAAAAGAATATAGGAAAGTTAAAATACTATGAGAGTATAAGATGGGCACGGTGGCACATGCCTGTAGTCCCAGCGCTCAGGAGGCTGAGGTAGGAGGATCGCTTGAGCCCAGGAATAAGGCCAGCCTAGGCAACACAGAGAGACCCAACTGAAAAACAAAAAACAAAAACCAACAAAAACAAACAAACAACTATGATAATGTAAAGGCAGACCAAGGATCAATCTGATAGTTCTAGAAAAGTTTCTAAGGGAGTTAACCCTTGATACCTCTCTATATAATCTTTTCTACCCTTTTATCATAACTTTCCTTTTTACCTATACAAGCCTATTTTCTAGAGTCGATACAAATTCACATTCCTTTACTACCATTTTCTAATACCTAGGTGAAGTAGCTGTAAACAAACAGTTCAAGTCTGAAGATACAAATGGTATCTTTTTGTTCATCTAAATGAATCTCAAGCTGGTAAATCCAGGCTTATCTCCTTTTTTCAGCAAGAATGGAAATATGCTCAAGACAGAAGGTTTGCAAGTGAGGCTTTGTTACACAATATATTGTTGGAGAAGTGCATGATTTCTGATTTAAAAAAAAAAAAAAAAGTAAATTGTGCCAGGAGCACATGTCTGTAATCCAGTGGCTCAGGAGGCTGGGGCAGGAGGATGGCAAATTGAAGACCAATCTCAGCAACTTAGTGAGGCACAAAGCAATTTAATGAGACCCTTTCTCAAAACATTAAAAAGGGCTAGGAATATAAAGCACCCCTGTGTTCAACCCCCAGTACCAAAAAGAAAAAAAAAGAAAGGAAGATTGTTAATTGTTCACATTGCATTCTCTGGCAAGTGTCTAAAAACCTATATTTCTATTCCAGAAAAACCACTGTCATGAAAAATCACTGTCTTTGGGGTACCCAAGAGGGTTCTAGGCAAAATTTTAAAAATTCGCATTTCTTTGGTTTTTATCACCTCTAACTCTTCCCACACTTCTTTATTTTTCTCGATCTCATGATCTAGAGCTATCAAATTCCCCCTTCTATCAAAAAATGAGTATACTTTGTGCTTGGCACTCTCCTGGATGCTACGAATGAAATGATGAATTAAAATATAATTCCTGCCTTCATGAAGCTTCAAGAATAGTAATGGAGTTTATACTTGCATCCGACTCAGACAACCTAAACTAAGAATCAAAAACTACCTCTGAATGCACCTAACAAAACTAAGAGCTTCAACCCTTTAGGGTTTTATCTACACTCGTAGAGATACAACCTGAACTGTCTTTTATTTCTAATCTCACCTCCTGCCAGAGATATTTCTAATACACCATGGCCCATTTAACAGTATCATACTGCCTGCTATCCATTGAAGATGACACTCAATTTGCATATCATTTTCACTATATCTAAAACATATCCTCCCAGATGAATGCCTGACTTCTCTGCTATTAGACAATCAAGGCCCAGTTCAAATGATACTTTCATTGCAATTCCTTCCCTATAATCCAAACTGAAATTTTCTTCAACTAAGCTTTTTGTATTGTTTATCCTCTGCTTACAGCACCCATATTAGATTTTGGAAAATAACAGATTATATAATCTGTATGCTTCTTTCACTCCACCCCAACTATGCCTTGAAGAATCATAATATACTGTAGCAAAACCAATCAAAACTGGCTTAAACCCAGGCACTTGGCACACACCTGTAATCCCATCCACTGGAGAGGGTGAGGCAGAAGAATCCCAAGTTCAAGGTCAGCCTGGGCAATTTAGGCCTTGTCTCAAAATAAAATTAAAAGGGGGAAGGGGGTGCTAGGATATGGCTTAGCGGTTACACGCATCCCTAGCACCACAAGGAGAAAAATATTGGCTCAAAGACTAGTTGTGCCACTCTAAGAGAGGCAATCTTGGTCAAAGTTCTAAACTCCTTTGAGATGCATTTTCCCCACCTATAAAGTAGGGGTAATACTATCTACTTCACAAAATTGTTAAGTATTAAAAATAGTACAGGTGAAGTGCTTCACACAATGCATGGCACTTATGAACTCCTGATAAAAATGGCAGTGGTAATTCTATTTCGATTTTTGTTGTTAATATTGCAAGGCTATTCTATGTATCCTTATGTCTGCATAGCATCTTATTTATAGCAAGCACGGAGTAAATGTTCAATTCTTAATCACCCCCCAAAACACATACAACTTGTAAAATGAATAGATATACATTTACTTCTTGCACAAGGGAAAATTCTATACTTCATCTCAAATGCTCTAAAATTTTAAAGGAATGGATAATATTAAATACTTTCATCTTTTTAACTGGGAAAGGACAATCAGATGATTTTTATGAAAGAAAACTAAATTTGGCTAACCGGAAATTCAAATATTATGAAGAATTTAAACATACTTTTCCATTTCTCAGAAAATTATAAATGCTTCAAATCCAATGATTTACTACTAGTTAAGACATAAGTGCCTAGTATTTGCAGTAGAGATTAGAGATGAGCTACAAGAAGCATCTGTTACAGACTATTCCAAGATTCTTTTAATGTTTATAAGGGTTGAGGCGTGGTGAGTTAGAAAAGAAAACTTTAGTTCTGCAGATTCTAAAAATGAAGTAAAATGCCATCTGTATAGCAGCAGCACTGGAAGAAACATGGTGACATTTTTGTTTCTGTGGTAATGGGGATTGAATGCAGGGGCACTCTACCACTGAGCTATATCTTACATCTCCAAACTTTTCTTTCTTTTCTCTTTTCTCTCTTCTCTTTTCTTTTTGAGATAGAGTCTTACTATGTCGAGGCTGGCATTGAACTTGTGATCCTCTGGCCTCAGCCTCCTGAGTTGCTAGGATTACAAGCACAAGCCTCTGCACCCTGCATGGTAATATTTTTAAAAGCAGAGTTCACATCTGACAGTGCACTGTTGTCATAGCCTACACTTTCACTCTATCACTGTGACATTTGGTAAATGGGAATAATAATATTTACACCACAGTTTTTTGATAGTAAAATGAAAATATTGTATTAAAAAGTAAGCTCAATAACTTTCTCATAGTGAGCATTCAAATAGCAGCTGCTGTTACTTTTTAAAATACAAATGATATGCAATAAAAATGGCTTAGATGATAACAGTGATATATTACCTCAGTTTTCTGATTCATCATTACTACTATTTAACACAGGCTCTAATTGCCCAGAAATAACTATTCAGAAAGAGAAATTAAATAACATAACCCCCTCCTTTGAGAATAAATAATAAACCACAAGAAATCGGAATTAAGTCTATTTAAGAAAGAAATTATCTTTAACTTCATGGGTAACTATGAAGCAATCACACACTACAGTAAAATGTCTTAGTCCTGGAATGTTTAAAATGCCTTGTGGATTAAAAAGTATTAGCTAGAGTAAAATGTTGAAAATTAAAAGTCCCAAATCAGATTATCTTGCTATGCTTGATTTAAATAAGAACTTGGCCCAAAATGATGAAAGTATTCTTAAATGTACACAGAACCTGTCCTGAAAACTACTGATACATATTACAACACAGATTAATCTAAAAATCATTATGCTATGTCAAAGAGGACAATATAAAAAATATCACAGAGTATGATTCCATTTATACAAATTCTAGAAAAGGCAAACTATAGTGACAGAGAGCAGACTAGTGGTTGCCTAGGAACAGGAGTGGAAGATTACAAAGAGGTCACAAGGGAGCTTGTGATGAATAAATCATCTTGATGGTGGTGATGGTTTGATGGATGTATACATATAAGTCAAAAGTTATCGAATTGCATACTTAAAATATGTGTGGTTTACTACTAAGTCAATAATATCCCAAAAAGCCATTGACTTTTTTTTTTTAAGATTTATGAAATAACCTATCATAGTTACATGAACTTAATACCAATGGCTAATGACCAATCACAAATAGTATCTCTTATATAAGTGAAATTCACTCTACTTTTTTCCCTTCCTCTTATCTCATCATGAGCTAGGTTCTTCATTTCATACCCTAAAAAAACTAAGAAACACCAGGTGCAGTGGCTCATGCCTATAATCCCAGCAGCTCAGGAGGCTGAAGCAGGAGGATCTCAAGTTCAAAGCCAGCCTCAGCAACTTAAGCAACTCAGTGAGACCCTGCTTCTAAATAAAATATTAAAAAAAGGGCTGGGGATGTGGCTCAGTGGTTAAGCACCCCCGGGTTCACTTCCGGGTACCAAAAAAACTAAGAATCAACTTCAAGGTTTGAAATGGCAACTTGCTCTCTTGTCTCCCCTATGCAGTAGATAAATAAAGTGCCTCAAAACCTTTCTCCAAATTAAATCCAATGAAGCTTTACTTTCAACACTTTAAAATTACACTTACTTCAGGGTTCTTGTAATAGCAGTATAGTACTTTGAAAACATTTTCTGGTATGAATCCACAAAAAAAGTCTTAATATGTATGTCATATATGCTAGTTCAGAAAAAATGAGTATTCATCCATATGAACTAGTATCTCAAACTTCAAATGAAAAACATGACCAAAACTGCTCTAAGTTCAAGAGCAATAACAATTGCTCCTAAGATTAGACAAAGAGGTGGTGCAGAAAAACAGGAATAGTAAATTTCTAAAATATGTACATGAAAGAAAATCTATATATTATAAGATAATAGACTTAGTCATTTTGATACAGGCATAATAAACTTCCTATGAACTGAAGATATATGTTTGGTGCTCTGCTGCAGAAACAGACCAGTATAAAAGTCAAGTTTTCACTTTCTGGTTTTCTATGATAATTCTACCTATAAATATGTATCCACTCTTCATATTTTCCATATTTTATTGTCACAAAGTTTTATTAGAACCCAAACTTGTTAAAATTATACTTTAAATTTTATTTATGACAACACAGCCAGCAATTTCTATTATTTGGTATCCTGCACAAATGACCAATTTTACATAATTCTAAAACAACCCTTAAAATTAAAGTTTTAATTGGAGTTCCAAAAAAATTCCCTCCTGAAAATATTAACTAAATTACTTTTAGTCAACTAAGACACTGTAAGGAACTTTAAATTTGCTCCCACAAAAACACAGAAGTAAAAAAAGAATCATCTGGAATACTACCACTCAGAGTTAACTACTATTAATATTCTGAAGTACATATTCCAGTTTTGTCAG